TAGAGCTTTTTTTATAGCAAAAGGGCTAATTTGGGAAATTGTTATTCTAGCATCGGTTGAAGAAATAACAATATATTTTTTATCAATAGGACTTATGTCACTGATTGGCAACACCGGAAAATTGGAATTTTTACTTTTTTTTCTTTAGGGGGATGTGTCACCTAATAGATGAAATCTATTCGGGTTTTTATCTAGCGGCCCAGGGGCCATTATGCCTCATTGTTGTCTATTGTTTATTATTTGTGAAATAACCACTCACTTGAAAAGGTGTGGGAACTGTGGAAGAAGGTTGGGAACTACTAAAGAAAAGTGTCAAATGTTTTCAATTTTTTTTATTTTGTTTTTTTGTTTTCTATTTTTTATTATATATAGACGAAACAAAAGCACATACGCGATATCCGTGTTAACCAGTTTTAGCAATAACACTGAAAAGACAGAAGTTAAATACACAAAAACACCGAAAACACCGAAACAATTGAAAAAACGCAGACGAAAAGAAAACACGCACTACACTGAACACAAGTCGACTTGACATAGTAACATGGTAACACTATAGGAAGCGGCCAGTGCTGGTACATTTGTTAAAATTGCGGCTGCTAAAGAACAAAGGTACGCTTGGCCGTAATCACCCGTTAATGGTAGAAGACGCAAGAAATTGGGTAAATGATTTTTAAACATTTTCCACGGTTTAGTATTGTTTTCAGAAACCACTAAAAAGAATTGAGCTACAGATATTGCTTTCCATCAGTACAGTCTGATTGAAGGAATCGACGGCATAAGGGGCGCTCTCATACAAATTCCACAGCAAATTGATAGCCTGCAAAAATATGTCCGAACGTATGTCCATTTGATTGCACATGCCACCATCATCCAAGCTAATAACAAAGGACCATTTTCAGGATTATGACATAAACGTGTTACATCTTTCTCAAAACTAAGAAATACTATAAACTTTTGAGTTCATGTTAAGAACAATTTAACTACCATATTCAAGTCTGCTGCCCGGATGAGGTAAGCCGTCATTATCTAAATGTTCGCGAAGCTCTGGCATTTGCGGATTACGAGCAAAATAGCAAGTTCCACTCAATTCAAAACATTTTGATATATAGATGCTACCGTGAGGATGACATACGGTATACCAACGCTTCGGAAAATGATCAGCAAGTTGCCGTCAAATGGGCAAACGAGCATTGGATTTAAATTGCTTTTCGTATATGCATGATATGATTTCAAACCCGATATTTAAGATATAGAAACGTAGAATCAGTTTTGGCTGCTTCTCTAATATTCTTTTG